GCAAAGGGTTTTTTTTCAAAGGGTTGCGTTCAGAAATGCAGCAGAAATCCTGAAGCACGGAAGGGTGCGATTAATTTATTCTGCATCGGTATATCGAAACAGCCTTAGTGTATCAACAACGCCGATTCAACGGCCGCTGCGGCTACGATTGTCACTGGCGGTCAGATTGCTGAAATCGCGAAAAAGCCGTTCGAAATCGTACACCCTTGATGAAAAGGTTGCATTCCGTCCATTTCATACCTTTGGAAGCAGTTGAGGGTAGGTTGCGTAAGAGACTGATTTAGCGTGTCAAGAAGTATTTGAAGATTCTCGTGAAAAGGCCTTCCATGCAGGAAGGATAGGGGTCTCTCAAATTCGTCGAGTAAACCGTTCGAGGACGCTGAAATTTTGACGCGGTTTTTGCCACTTTAAAGAAAAAACAACACAAAAAGAGAAAAGTGAAAACCAAGAGCAGATATCTCTCTTAACGTGAGATCGCTGAAAAGTGAGATAGTCTCGAAAGTGATAAGTTTGCTCTTCCTTACGGGGCTCCTCTGAGCTCTTCTTCTACATTTCCTGTTGAGAAGAAGTCTGCTCGAGATGTAACGGAGGACGGAGCGGCCACCGAAAATCCGCGTCCCTCATTCACCATTGCAATGTGTAATTTTTGGCAACGCTGAAAGGGGTCTTCAGAAAGACATCCTCTCACACGATAGAAGCAATAGGGAAGGGCAATCGTCATCATCGAATTTGTGTTGAGTATAGGCCATGCATCCCTCCTCGGAAGTTGCAGTATTTGATTTCGAAGGTGTCATATGATATGTCGCAGGTTGACAGAAGATGCATTGTAGTAGACGCATTTGCGTAACTTTTCACCAAAGAACAACTTCATTTGCGCAAGGCTTTTCTTCGACGGTTGGTCGTTTTTGGCGACAGGGTCGCTAGACAAACAAGTGTGATCTCAGACGAGTGTTAAGGCGAGAAGTGAGCGAGCGATAGGCAGAGGAGTGTTTGGCAGCGCGTCGCACGATGGCGCTGCTTCTTAACGGGGAAGCACTCCCATTCTTTGACTACCTTCAAATACGCCCTGCTCTAAGTGTGAGAACGGGAGCGACTGAAACTGCAAAGAAAGGAATAGCATGGTTTTTCAGTATTGTCATTTTTCGGCTGGTAATACCTCTTCAGATCGAGGAATTTTAGACGAAAAGAGAGTTAGGTCGAATTGACGATCATCTTAACACAATCACCCTCTACTTGCTAAACATCAGTTGGGCCCTGGACAAAATATGTTACTTTAGTTAAGAAGTAGGTCTGCACGTTGTGCAAATTATTACTTACCAGCTCAACTGGACAATTTTTCGCTCAGAGTCTTTTGCCAACAAGGTCAAAACAACGCACCCTTTTGAGCACACGTAGTAGCAGATGAGGCAATTTATTAGAATTTTCTTGGTCAACATTCCAACTTCGTTAGGGCGTCTGTGCACCCTCGATCAGAAACTGCTTAGGGTGTAACTACCATCCCACCCAAACACTGGTGCAGCCCCGTTTGACTGATTAAGCTACGGACCACCTTTTGCGACGCGTTTGCGGCATACCCTTCAAAGAACTTTACTGTCTTTTAAGACAACTGTGAAAACCCGATGAGCATTTAATGTATGTATACCCTCCATCAACATGCATGCTGGTTTGGTGGCGATTACCAGCTTCTCACAAGACCTTTGATGGGCATTTGTACACACATCGCGACATTGCACCACTGGACCCAGAATTTTCAGAAGAAATATAAAATTGGGGAAAGTTAACTGAACCAAATCACAATAAAGACGTCAAACACATAACTGCAATTAATAGACAACCCCAAACTGCCCTTCGGGATATGATTTCCATAGTAACGCCCAAAACTTCTGAACTCAGAAAAAGCACACTAAGAACCGTACCTAATATAAATTTTTTGTCACTGACTGTCATACTCCTTCAATAATTCGTTACTGGTATGATTACTCTTTCTGATAACCATCAAGTATGCACACATTTTTAAATAAAAATGCCAAAGAATCCGTCAAAAAGGCATCTGATCACTGAACAGTGCGTACGCGCGCACCCCTGTCCTTAACAGCTTTTGATCGACCGTGTGGGCCGCGGTGGCCCCACTTCACTAGGACTCTCGTTTTTCTCCCATTTTATTTGGCTTTTTGCGTGTTCCAACTGCTGTATACATTATTAAAACGTCAAAACAATACTACACAGTAGCGAAATTGTTTAGTGTTAATGGATATGACGAAAAAATTAAAAAAAAAGTGAAGCAAATGCACGCACAGAACCCGGTGGTCGTCAAAAGTTAATGTGTCAGCTTCACACTGCATTTCCAGTGCGGATTCCAACCGAGGTTGCCGGCCGAGATGCAAAATACTACAGCTCTACTGCCAGCCTCTGAGAGCTAACTCTCCATTGGCTCACAAATAAGGTTTAGATATTATGCTTTTATCGTTCATGTTCTTTGTTTCAGGCAGTTGACGACCATTCTTCGAATAGATCTCATTGAAAAAGTGGAACGGCGAAAACTCAAGAGTTCCCACTCTTGATTCTCACAGCCAAGGAGTTAAACATTTTAAATCGTTATGTCACTTTCTAAAATTCAAATTGATACTGCAGTCTTTCACAATATATATTCTGCCAAAGCTGATGACCTCATTATCTATTTTGATTACAAGTTATATGTTCAGCGTGATGAGAAATAGCTCTAATCAACATCGTATAGCTTCCCGGTGAGTTGAAGCCGTTCCTAAAACCGATCACTTTAGTAAGCCTTTAATACACCTTTCAGAATCATTGCTGATGTTTTTAGAATTCGTTCAGCTCACTATCATCAAGTTGACCAGCCACGCTAACCGCCTCGTTCCTGGAATATTCGCCTTCTTAGGAAAACTGAGCTCATCCTTCTGGCTCCCTTGGATAAAAATAGAACTTAACATCCACAAGAAAAAATGCGCATCAATAAAGAAAAGTTGAATGTTGATCGATTAACCATGTCCGACCGCCAATGTCAAGCCCGCCTGTCTAGGTGAAAGCCGTTGAGCCGCAACATTTATTCACTAACCCTAATTCGAGATCATACTAACCCAATTTTTCAACATCCGTGTCCCACGACTACTTCCTCGTAACGACACGTTGACGCTTTCCATGCACAATTGTAATTCTCTAATCATACAACTCACACAGTAGCAACAACTTCCAATTGACCAAATGAGGTTTCCCTTATAAGTTCAGCAAACTGGATTTCTAGCGAAATAAATCAGGATCGCTGGTAGTGGAAGTTTGCTGTAAGGAAAACGCCAAAAAATTCAGTGCTAAAAT